TGAAACCAAAAGAGGCTGGTAGTATGTTTTTAGAGCAGGGTATTTGGCCAAAGAGTTTGTACGTTGACTAGTGAATTGTCTCCTTTCAGCTTGGAAGACGTGGCTTAGCACCACTACAGAATTGGTATGTATCTGAGAGGTAAAAATTTGGGTGTCAAGAGGCCTTGCATTTGGAATCTGAAAAGCTGACTTTTCACTTGAAATACTAATATTAGCTAAAATTGCTACAGAACTGAAGTGAGAAAAGATAGATGGTAGCTTAGCTAAGGAATTACAAAGTTGTGACTCATTTTAGTCTTATACACTGAAGCTACATGACAAGGAAATGGAAGTAGTATCCAGAAACCATTAGAGATTATGTTAGTGTATCCTTTCTCTTTTTTTAATGCATCTTACCCAAACTAAGAATTGATCACATGCCAAGGGTTTTCCTCATTTTGAAAGGTGAGGAAATAGGTTTTTGAGGTTTGTTGACTAGCTAGAAAAGTCTTAGTTTTGACCTTTCTAAGCTGTAGCCAGTTGAGAAAGTACTTTATGAAGTACAGAAGCAGCATTCTAGGCTGCCACCCTATCCTAGGACAAATCGTAAACATCATTTAAAATCCTTTGCTATATTGTATCTAGCCTACCTTTCCAAATTTATCCTCATACAATCTACCTTCCCACCAAATTGGCCCATGTTCTCATTCCCCAAGCATAATAACAGCTAGCATTTATATGTTCCCTATTGTGTGCCAGGTACTGTGCCAAGTGCTTTACAAATGTTACTTTATCCTCAACAACCCCTGAGAGGTAGGTCTTATTCTTATCCCCATTTCACAGTTGAGGAAACTGACTGACAGGATAAATGATAGCTAGTAAGGGTCTGAGGTGGTATCAGGACTCAGGTCTTTCTGACTCCAGTTACTGGAGCTTTGAGGGATTGGGAAAGGTTTCCTGTAGAAGGTGGGATTTTTATGTTTTGCATGATTTCACATGTATAATTGATATCACATTTCTTCCCTCCTCAATAGGTGGAGAAGGGAGGGAGAGAATTCAGATCTCAAAATTTAAAAAAAGATAATAAATTTTTAATGTTTTTGTAAAAGGTGGGATTTTAGTTGGGACTTGAAGGACGATAGGGAAACCAGGAAGCAGAGATGAGAAGGGAGAACATTTCAGGCATGAGGGACAGCCAGAGAAAATGCCCAAAGCCAAGTTATAGAGTATCTTGTCCATGGAACAGCACGGAGGCAAGGTCACTGGATTGAGTATATGTGGTGAAGGAGGGGGGTTGTAAGGTGTAAGAAGCCAGGAAAAGGTGTAAGGGCGAATAGGTCATAAAAGCCTTAGAACAGGGAATAGGATTTTGGATTTGATCCCGGAGGTGATAGGAAGCCACTGGAGTTTACTGAGCATGACAGTAGCAGGGTTGGACCTTGTCAGTTACCCACTCAGACCTTTTGTTTCCTCATCTATAAAATTGGGATCATACTTGCACTATTTGTTTCCTAAGACTAAGAGAAGCACTTTTTAAACCTTAAAGTACTATAGAAATGTGAGATGTTATATACACAGAAAGGTAAGGTGAGAACTTGCAACATAACTTATTAAGTTGAAAAGTAAGATTCCACCTGTCAATACTTTTTAAAGAGCATGCTATTCTAATTGTAGGAAGCCTTCTTTCATGGACTTGACTGTGCTTAGGGTCAAGGGTGTTGGGTTTGTTTTTTTTTTTTTTTCATCCTTCAGATCTCCCAAGAAATGATCTTTTCATACAGAAACAAGTTGTCACCTTTCAGTAGCTTTCAGTAATTCTAAGGTTTGAAGGGGGCCGGAGATCGGATTTACCTTACCTTTAAGTGTTTTTCTGTCTGAAAACAATTACTGACCCTTGAGAACATATATGTGCTACATGATCAATCACTTTTTAAAGAGTTGGACTCTTCTGACATGTATATCATACAAATAACATGCTTTTCTCCTACTTAATTTTTATTTTCCATTTTAAATTTTTTTCCCAATAAGCATAGAGAGAATTGCTAGAAATGTAAATTTGAAGGGTATAAATCCTTTGGAAAAGACTTCTTAGAAGTGAAGAGATATAAAGTATTTTAAGTGAGGGTAAATGCAGTATTACTGAATTTCCCTAATATTTTCACTCTAAAATGAAATTATTACATTATCTGGGAACTAGACAGATATTGTCCTTAATCATCTGAGGTGTAATGAGCATGATATGTAATGGGAGTATCTGTAAATTAGGGATAGTACTTGTACTGCTGGTGTCACAATGCAATTGTGTCTCAAATACTTAGGCAGCCTTCAAGTGCTACAGAAATGTGACTCATATTAATTTTTGAGAATTTATATCTTGATTCTATAAAAGAGATTTGACAAAACTTTCTGGTTAGAAAGCCTTTTAGAGTTGCTGAAAAGAGACACAAGATGGTCAGGAAGCAGGCCGCTTTGCTTCTTTAGCAAAATCACGGAGTGTGCAACAAGGGGATATGACCTAGGTGGTATCTGATTACCAGGTAAAATGCTAGGTCTTTGAAGCTGGGGGTGATATGCCTAGAAAACTGAAGTGCGAGGACTGGGAGAATATTGCTCTATTCCTACTAAGGTATTTTTTCTAGATCGTCCTCCTTTGAAAGCTTAGACAATGAAATATTCTGATGGACAGATGCCTTGCTAATAGGTTTGGTTGTGACTCAGTCATTTTTCTCAGCAAAGATACCAGAGTGGTTTGCTATTTCCTTCTCCAGCTTATTTTCCAGAGGAGGAAACTGAAGCAAACAGGGTGAAGTGACTTGCTCAGTGTCACACAACTAGTAAGTGTCTGAGACTAGGTTTCAACTCCGGAAGATAAGTCTTCCTGATTCCAAGCCCAGTGCTCTATCTACTTCACCACCAACTAGAATTTATTAAATGCTGACTGTGTGCCAGGCACTGTGCTAAGTGCTGGAGACACAAAGAATGCAAAAACCAGTCCATGCCTTAAAGGAGCTCATAAGTCAAGTTGTCTAATATGCCAACAGCTATATACAAACAAAACATAGACAAGATAAATCAGGGTCATTTCAGAGGGAAGACATAAGATTAAGGAGGCCTAGGAAAGGCTTCTTTCAGAAGGTGGGACTTTTACTGAGACTTCAAGGAAACCAGGGAACCTAGGGAGATAGAAATGATGCCCAGAATGAGGCTAAGTCTATTGGCTTTGAAAGGAGGTGAAGATACTTTCTGAAAAATCTCCAGAATTTAAGCTCAGTCTCCTTTAAATATGGTGTCCCAGAAAGATTACAAAATAGTTTCATATGTTTGGGCCTTGAGATTCCAATCCTGGATATTTGCTCCAAGAACATCAAAAATATTCACAGCACTTTCTATGATAGGAAAAAAAAGGGGGTGGGGTGGGAGGAATGGGTGACCACCATTTGGAGAATCACTGAACAAAATGTCTTATATGGGTGTAATGGAATATTAGTGCTTTAAAAATGATGAAGAGGAGAATTTCAGGGAAATGTGTAAAGACTTATATGAGCTGATGCTGAATTTGCACCATATATAATGACTACAAAAACAGGAAGTGGACCTGTGATTTAAATAATACAGGGAATTCCTAGGGGAGGAAAGTCACTCCACCAGTGCAAATGAGGCATCTTCTCTAAAACTTTGAGAGTTGGCTAGACTAGAACACTAAAGAATAAAGTGGTTTGCCCAGGGTCAGGCCTCAGAAGTAGTATTTGAACCCAGGTTTTCTTGGCTTACAGCCCAAGTCTCTTATCTACTATGCCACTGTCTCTGTAATGTTAACCACACTACTGAAAGACTTGCAGAATTCTAGTTAAGGACCAATCTCAATTCTGGAGAATTGATCCTAGGACCAACTTCTCTGCTCTATATAGGGGGAGGGAGGAAGGGCAGTGGCTGTGGATTCTGGCCATGTTCTTGGGCAAGGCCCTCCTCAGTTTTCTAAAGTGTTTTCTTTGTTACAAGAGAATGGAATAAGGTAAGAATACAAGGCGACAATAACAGCAGGTTGCATAACTTTTCTACTTCAGAATACATAATAGCATTTGTAGTCAAATTCGTGAGCTTTCTAAGACGGCCCTTTTTTCTTAAATGTGGGGTATGTTGAGATGTCTTAATTTTGCTCAGAAATGTAGAGTAAGCAAGGGTGCTAAGTCCTCCTGTTACGCTGCAGACATCCCTTACCTCTGAAGCATGGTGATTGAGCAAGAGTTTCTAGCTTAAAGATGCCCTTGAAAAATCCACAAGAAATATAGCGTGTGTATGTCGGGGGTGTACATTCATACTGCTCTCAGTGATGGTAGTAGATCATCTGTAAAATGAAAATAATGATAGCATCTACCTCCCAGGGTTGTTGTGAGGATCAAATGAGATAATAATAATAATTTACATAATAGATGTAAAGCGCTTAGCACAATGCTTGGTTACTTAGGTGCTTAATATATGCTTGTTATCGATCCACCTGTCCATTCATACATCTATTTATTCGTTTATCTTTTATTCACTCTATCTAATCTATTTAATCTATTTAATCTATCTATCTATCTATCTATCTATCTATCTATCTATCTATCTATCCATCATCTATGTAATCTATATAGTATCAGTTATGGAATTCAAAAAACCTTCCCGGCGCCGTGGCTGCTTTTCCGCTTGATGACGGTAGGGGGCGGGGTGAACTCGAGTCATCCGCCGCTTTCCTCGCTCCCCCCTCCTCTTCGTTCACGTGATCGATCTCCCTCTTCCCAGTCCTTCCCGCTTCCGGCCAGGGCATCACCCGGAAGTGCGAGTAGCCAGGGGAGGGGCCAGTGGCTGCGGTAGCGGCCGGAGGGGAGGGGGAGGAGGAGGAGAGAGGAGAAGGAGGAGCTGGAGCTGGAGGGGAGTTGGTGTTGGTGCAGGAGGTGCTGCCACTGCTGCCGCTACCGCCGCCGCCGCCGCCGCCGCCTCCTCCGCCTCCTTCTCACGGTGTGTGAGGCGGGACCACGTCCGCCGGTCGGCGGAGTTGCCGCCGCGCCCCCTCTGCGCTGGAGCCCCGGAGCGGTGCGGATGTGAAGCTAGGTAAGCCCGGCGTGCCTCCCGGGGCGGGGGCAGGTGCGCCCTCCTGGGCGGGCTGTGGGGCCCTGCTGGGTAACCGTGGCAACGGGCGTGGGGGGCTGTGACCGGGGGGCCGGGCGCGAGCACGCCGCCAGCCAACTGTTCCCCCGAAGCCCGGGGCAGGACAGGGATTCTGCCCATGCCCCACCCCCTCCTTCGGCTGCGGCTGCCGGGGACTCTGGGGGGCGGCTGCCGCTGCCACTGGCGCCTCCTCCTTAGGGGCTTCGCTTGGTACTCGGGGCAGGATCCCGAAAAGAGGAGGCAGCGGGGCATTCTTGTCTTGTTCTGAGATCCCAATTTAAAAAGGGAGGGCATGCACGCTGCTGGTTGCATGGGAGCATATTCCTTGTGCCCTTGCCCATGGAAATAAGACTCCTCGAAGTTATCGTTCTAGCTCTACCTGGATCCTGAATCCGAGGATCGATCTCTTGTTTCTATCTCTCTCTGTTTCTGTCTTTTTCTGTCATCTTTTACTGATACTGACTGAAGCCCATTCCAAGCTGGGAGAAAGGAACGCTGTCATTTCTGAAATAATTTTCTCTCCCTGCTAGATCTCATCTTTATCTTAATTGTTACCGCTTCTGCTGCGGACACTAGCAGATTATTGCGGCTCCGCCTAGGGCTGTAGGTGATAATGAAAGTGGATGAATTTGGAAGAAGTAAAACAGGGTCCTTGCCCTAAGGGAAGTTAGCCTTTTGGTAACCGAGTCCTGGTTAGGACAGCAACCACAGATTGCCACAATCCCAGGGATTGAGTCACAGGGCAGCTAATCTTGTCTTCCTTTAGGACCTTTTGAGTTTTGCTTTTCTTATTTCAAAATATCCATCATCTGTGTTATCAGGTTCTATATGGTGTAGTAGGTAGAGCATTGGATTTGAAGTCAGAAAACCTGGATTCCAATCCTTGTTCTGACACTTAACCGACTTTGTGACCTGGACAAGTCACTTACCTCTTGATGCCTCCCTTTCTTTCATCCTATAAATCATAACTTCCATGAGTGGGATCCATTGAAAACTGAGATTTTGTGGCCCCCTAAATTTTTGGAACATATATAATTGGGTAAAATTGTTCCTCAAAATTTCTTTTAGGTCTTCTTCGTTGGTTGTGAATTCACCTTTTTTGTTTTGGTGCTGGTAGTTTGATTTTCTTTTAAAAAAAATTAGGTTAGCTAATGGTTTATTTTTTTTTAAACAGTTCCTAGTTGTATTTTTTTTTCTTGCTTTCAATTTTGTTAATCTCTTATTTGATTTTCAAGATTTTTATTTTGGTGTTTCTAGTTATTTTAGTTTTATGTCCAGTTCATTGATCTACTCTTTCTTTTATTCATGAACATGTTTAGTGATATTACATTTTCCTTTCAGTACTGCTTTGACTGCATCCCTAAATTTTTGGTATGTTGTCTCATTGTTGTCATTATCTTTAATGAAATTTATTGTTTTTGTGATTTGTCCTTTGACCCAATGTAAGTACTTAATAAATGCTTTCTCACCCATTCATGTTAGATGTCTTTTTTTTTTTCTTTAAGGTTTGCAAAACAATTTATATAGTCTTGGTTCTCAGGCAACTCCATGATGTGCCAGTTACTCCTGATCTAATAACAAGGTTCTTCACTGTAGTCAATGAATATCAATAGAGTTAAACAAAAGTTAGGTAGTCTTTGTAGAGCATTTGCTATATTTGTTATGTGACAGAGAAAAAAAGATGTCGTAATGACCCACTATTACAGTGTTGTCAATGTTTCAGACATAAGCAATCATGGCTCTCAGAGTGTTACCATATAATGTCATTATTACTGGCCTATGAAGTTTCAGCCTGACGTAAACTCATGCCAAAAAGGGAGAAAAATGCAACTATACTCTTCATTCTTTCCTTCATACTGAAGAGCTGCTTTTATTTAAATATTGCTTGAAATATTTGTTTTCCGAAATTCCTCAACTTCTTTGAGTAGGTCCAAGATTCACTCTCCCCCACACACCCCCATTCTCCATCCTCAGTGTTTCTGCTTTTTCTTACATCTCCCAGTTTTGACTGCTTCCTCTATTACAATTTTACTCATCTTATCTTTATGGAAACCATTGCACAGAGCCTGAGCTGTGCTTTCTAGGCTGTAACATTAAATAACTAATCCCCCAAAGGACCACTGGCCTTCTGTATTCTGTATTCTGGCCTTAAAAGCTGTTTTTCATTGAAGAATTATGTCCAGAAGGACTGAAATTTATTCCAAATAGAGAGCAAGAATAACCCTGACTGTAACTTATACTTCTGAAACAGCCCCAGGCGGGATATTACTGTTTTATATCCTCTGTTATGACTCCTTTTATCTAAATATTAAAGTACTTGACAAACATTAATTAAGGTTCCTAGCCTGTCAGTGAGGGAAAATGATTCCATTTGCAAGTGGGGAGGCAGGTTATGAGGGGTAAAGGTTTGCCTCAGGTAAGCTGCACACAGTTCTTGGAAGAATTGGGCATGGGGTTTGAGTTTTGACTCACCATTCTCTCTACTTGATCACTGTACCCAGTTTCTTTTGTTAAGAAGGCGTAATACCAGTTTGCCATAATCTTTTTGTGGTCTATATGAATCAAAAGCAAGGTCAATTTCTAGTCCATGGATAACGTTCTTAAATGTTACACAGGGGTCTTCTGGTTATGTGATCATTTGCTGGCCTACTTCTTGAGACAGTGTGGCAATACAAGTGTTGTTCCTTTAGATGTTTCATCAGAGGGAGAGAATACAGTGTTTTTTGGTCTATAAAAATATTTATAGTTTTTTGCTCCACTGACTTTGCGGAGGAAACTAACTTCATCTAGGTGGACTCCAGAAGGCCCTTATGAAAGTCCTTTTGGATTATAACAATGTTCCTTTCTTAAAGGAAATAGTCATTTTATCTCCATTCTGCTTTAACTAGCTGCATGTTTCTTCCACACAGGCTTAGTTAGACTCATGTAAGGGCATCTCACAAAGGGAAATTCAACTTTTATAAACTTAAAAAAAAAACTTAGCCGTAAGGTAAGAAGCTGAGAGTCTCTTGGCATACAGGTCTTTTACCAATCAGTACGTTTTAAATGTTCATTAGTTAGGATGAAAGGGGCATTTCATGTCTCAGTAGTTGTTTTAGCCTGGCTGACTATGATGATAATATTTGAAAGCTAGTTGATTTATTTAAAAAATGATTTATTTTTTAAAAGGTATTTTATATAAGTACCCACAGGTATAGCCATTTATTCAGCTTCCATTATGGCTTTATTTTTATTTTTTTTTCATTCAGTTTTTATTTTATTTTTTCTCAATTATATGTAAACAAAAAATTTTAACATTTGTTTTTTTTAAATTTTGAGTTCCAGATTCTCTCTCTACCTCTTTCCCCTCGCCTTTCCTTTAGAAGGCTATTTAGAAGGCTATATCTATTTGATATAGATGATACCTGTGCAGTCATGCAAAACATTTCCATGTTAGACATGTTGTAAAAGAAAACACAGACCCAAAAAACATCTCCCAAAAATAATAAAGTTTAAAAAGTATGCTCCAATCTGCATTCAGACTCCATCAATCCTTTCTCTGTATTATTATTATTATTATTATTATTATTATTTGTGTTATTTTTTTTTGAAGGGTGAGGCAATTGGGGTTAAGTGACTTGCCCAGAGTCACACAGCTAGCGAGTGTTGTGTCTGAGGCTGCATTTGAACTCAGGTCCTCCTGACTCCATGGCCCGTGCCCTATCCACTGTGCCACCTAGCTGCCTCATCATCAGTCCTTTCTCTGAATGTGGATAGCATTTTTCACCATAAATCCTTTGGCGTTGTCTTGGATCACTGTATTGCTAAGGATAACAAAGTCAGATCATTGTACAGTGTTGCTGTTACTGTGTACAATGTTCTTTTGGTTCTGCTCACTTCACTCTGTATCAGTTCGTGTAAGTCTTTCCAGGTGTTTTTGAAAGCACCCTGTTTATCATTTCTTATAGCACAATAGTCTTCCTTCACAATCATATATTACAACTTGACTAGTCATTCCCCAATTGATGGGCATCCCCTCGATTTCCAATACTTTGCCACCACAAAAAAAGCTGCTAGAAATATTTGTGTACACATAGGTCCTTTTCCTTTTCCTTTGATCTCTTTGGGGTACAGACCTAGTAGTGGTATTGCTGGATCAAAGGGTCTGCACGGTTTTATAGCCCTTTGACATAATTCCAAATTGCTTTCCAGAATGTTTGGATCATTTTACAACTCTACCAACAGTGTGTTAGTGTCCCTGTTTTTCCACCTCCCCTCCAGCATTTGTCATTTTCCTTTTCTGTCATATTAGCCAATCTGATAGGTGTGCAGTGGTACCTTGGAGTTGTTTTAATTTGAAATTGTCTAATCAATAGTGATTTAGATGACTATTTTTTATTGCATATGGGTGGCAGCTTTATGTAGCTGCCATTGACACAGTGAGTGGTAGCGTGGTAGCTTTCTGAGGTGGAGGCAGTTGGTGGCAATAGGACTTAGAGCTGGGAGGTCAGCTAGCCTGACCTCATTTTATGAGCGAAGAAACTGAGTCCCTGAGAGGATGAGTGACTTGCTCAAGGCCACAGGCGGTATCTTAGGTGGCAGAGTCATCAGAGTGCTCTTGGAGGTAGGGAGTCAAGAACTCTGAATTCAAAATTGTGGCTCACATGCCAGGCAAGTCATTTTGTTCCCTCCTAAATCACAGTTTTCAAACTAGAAGCGGATTGCAGATAAGGAGACTGAGGCCCCAGGAGTCATGAGGATATAAATAGCAGAAGGAAGGAGTAATGGGGCAACTAGATGGGGCGGTGGCTAGAGCACGGGGCCTGGAGTTAGGAGGACCTGAGTTCAAATCTGGCCTCAGACACATAACACTCACTAGCTGTGTGACTCTGGCCAAGTCACTTAACCCCAGTTTCCTCACCAAAAAAAAAAAAAAATAAATAAATAAATAAAGAGGGAAGGAG